GTCTTGTTACTATGCATAGTTGTGTTTTTCTTAAGTCAATAAATCTTTCTTACCTTTCTACCCCTGACCACACTCTCAATCCTAAACCACCTGCAGGCGGCTGGGACAACTACTCCAGAGGATGGAGCTGGAGGAAGGCGATGCTCCAGAGCTGCTTGTGCCCTGCTCCTGCCAGACTCAGCTAGAGATAGTGGCAGCAGTGGGGCTTCCCTTCCCCATGCCTGCTCCTGGGCTGACAGGGAATACCTGGGCGAGGATCAAGCAGGGAGGGACACATCCACTGCTGCCACTAGCTGCACATAAAGCCTGGATGGAGCAAGCAGGAGAGGCTCTGGACAGTGCTGCTGCAGATGAAATACTGTTTGTGTGGGCAGGCATGGGGGGAAATCCTGCCGAGCTCTGACTCGGGGTGGGGGAAGGCGGGGGAGGTGGGATGGGAAGGATTCTAGCTTACCTCCGAGTCTTAAAAAATGTCCCTGGCCATTGCTCCTGTGGCATGTTTGACTGAAAAAGAGGTGCATCCATGGCACTGCTCCCCCTCTCCCTGCCCAGATCTTCCTGTGTGTACATTAAAAGCTTACTATTTTGCACTTTCAGTCCTGGAAATGCAAAATTGCCAAATAAAACTATTGGGGAGAAAAAGTGAACATGACATAAAATTTGGTTTAGGTTCATCCTGGCAGATTTTGTGTAAAAGAAGGTTGGTTTCATATTTCTACAGCTGAGATTTTCTATAAACAATTTTAGTTGTAGAACATAACTTTTTCTTCTGCTTAAATAGCCATGAACAGGTCACTACTTCTTCTAATGCATTCACACTTACTGAAGAAATATTGTTACACATTTTGAAACTCTAGATATTTTGCTTAGACGTGAAATGTTTAGAAACACACACTATTGCTTCTACTTCCCGATCAGATGAGTGCTCACATATTTATCTATGAATTGTTATAGCAGATCAAAGCAGCAGTCCATCTAGAGCAGTGTCCTTCCTTTGACTTCAGCTAATACCAGATGTTTCAGAAAAAGGTGCCAGAATCCCTATAATGGATGACCCTGGATAGATACCATTTTAATAGGAAAAGTTTCTTCCTAACTCTGGGGAGAACACCCGGGATTGTCACCTCACCAATCTTAAAAAGGCTTTCACCCAACAAGGATACTCCTCCAGAGAGATAGATTGCACGTTTGAAAGAGCCACCCAGATACCACGTGAAGAATTGCTGCAGTACAGAAGAAACCCCCCACAAATTGCACACCGCTGGTTATGACATATCACCCCTCCCTCAAACCTGTACAGAAAATCCTCAAACAATTGCAACCCATACTAGAAAGAGACCCTATTCTTAAAAAGATCTTGCCAGAGCTACCCATCCTAGCCTTCAAACAAGCA